AGTCTTCCTAAGCTGTATGATACTGTGTGAGGAGTGAACACATATTTATGATTATTTAAGGAAATAACTTGTGTATATTCTTACTGAACGTATACTTGATGTCATTGGTTATAAAACAGAGAAACGGTGATGAAACGGTTTGGCTTCAGCAGTGTCAAACCTGTCTGAATAAGTGCAAGAACAGAAGAGCTTCAGCATAACGAGAAAAAGAGTTGGTGGATCTCACCAGGCTTTTCTGTTTCCTGGACTGTTTCCTTTTTGGTGTCAGATGAGGTCATTTCTTAATGAATGAAAAAAAAAACCCACAATCTCTCTTATACGTGTTGTACTTCCAACACTCACATTTATCATAATATCACTTTTAGTTCAAACTGAGAAGCAGACTTACCAGTCTTTTCCTGAGATGTTTCTCTTTTGGTGTCAGATGTCGTCATTTCTGAAAATACACAATCATGGTTAAAACAATTAGAGGAACAGATTTTGGTCTAATATAAGAGTCACTATCTAATCCGCTCTTCTGTTAAACACAAAATGTGATTGACGAAAATCTTCTGTACAATGAAAGCAGACCGTAACTAGATGTCAAACTCCAATTTCATGCCCAAGACTCATTCAAGTCACATTGATTTCTATAGTGCTTTTTACAATAGGCCTGCAGACTGGTCAAAGCAGCTTCACCGTAACAAAGAGGAAAATAACCGTATTGATGCTATAAAAATAATCAATTATGAAACAAATTCAAGTTCAGCTGTAAATCAGCTCTACAGAAGACAATATTACCGTTATTCAGATTAGTTGAGTTCAATAAGTGTTAATGAGAACGACTTTTTGAAACTGTCTTTATCGTTATCTTTATAGTTATCATCCTTGGTGTGAATGCATGGGGCTTTAATGTTGCAAAGTACATTAGTCAGTTCTGTAAGCTCTTATGAAGCTGTATGACCCTGTGTGAGGAACCATTTAAAACAACATTTAGAAAAAGCATCTTTTGTGCTCCACAAAAAAAAAAAATGCAGTGAAAACAGTGTGAAAACACAAAAGAAGCAGCCAGTTTTACTCAAACACAAGGGATTTTGTTGCTTGCTGTTTGTGGTTTTCAGCTGGTGTAAAACATCCCTGTTCACACACATCAGGCATGTTACTTTAACAGGACAGTTCACCCCAAAAATTATCACACTGTTAGAAAAAAAAAAAAAAAACGGTTGAAAAGCTGTTGTAATGTCCTGCCATGTTAAGGCCATGTCCACACGTACACGGGTATTTTTATAAACAGAGTTTTTCCTTCCACATGAAAATGCAAACGCATGCGATGAAGCACTGTCAAGAGCATGCCAAACCAACAGGTGGCGCTATAATCTCAACCGTAAAGCCATGTTGGCCAATCAGAAGCCTGAAAAAGTCTCCAGTAGGCGGAGATAACAGCACATGCTCCGACGTCACAAGCCAAAAACTCCAGTTTCGCTGTCTACACGATAACACAGTTTCTGAAAATCTTCACCCTGGCAGGCTTTTTCAAAAATGTTAGGTTTCAGTGACCTGGTGCTGCGTTTGCATGTGGACGAACGGCCAAACCTTGTAGAAAAAGCTGCGGTTTTAAAAATAACCGTGTTCCTGTGGACAGCGCCAAAGTTTACAGACATTTTATTTAACCTTAAAACATTACATAATGTAAAATTCAGTTAAAACACCTGTTTTTTTGTGTTTTTTAAGTGGATTCTTCTATCACCTTCTTTCTAATCAAACACACCTGGACAAGCTAATCAGTGTCTTCAGGATTACTAAGGTTACGGGCAGATTATTTCCTTTTTTTCAGGGTTTGAGCTAAACTCTGCAGGACAGCTGCTCTCTAGGACCAACCATTTTTGTATTCATCTGAAGGAAGATCATTCTGAATTCTCGGTGAATGATCCACTTAATGAAAGAGTGTTTTACCTCCGGTCACGTGTAGCTGAACTTCAGTGAATATGAAGGACCCAGAACTCTCCTCTGCACACCAGTATTTCCCAGCATCCTCTGCTCTCAGATTGCTGATCTTCACAGTAAAGACTCCAGCAGAGGTTTCTTCAGTCAGAGAGAATCTGCCGTTTGTTCTGTTATTTGATGAAACATGAACTCCGTCTCTGACGCAGATATTGAGCTGATCTCGTCTGCAGAACAACCCCTGTGCTTGATTCCTGATGTGTTTACAGCTGATGGACGCTGATCCTCCGACAGACGCTTCATGAGTGACCGCTGAAGAGCACAACATTAAATATGATGAGTTTGATTACAGAAGGAGCAGAAACATTGAGATTATTCCCAAATAAACATCCTCACCGTCCTTCGTGATGATCATGAGCTCAATGGGAAGGTTAAACGCATCTTTCACTGCACACCAGTATTTCCCAGCATCCTCTGCTCTCAGATCAGTCATGGTCACAGTGAAGAGATTGAGTGCAGTGTCGTCCTTTGCTGAAATCTTTGGTTTTTTAACATGATCTTCATCTGACCGAATGACATATTGAGCATCTGGAGTGAAACACTTTCCTTTGCACAGACGCTTTATTTCTTTTGTGTGGTTTTTATCATAAGGGCATTTGATCTCGACTGAATCTCCTTCACGTCTGATCACTGGAGGCACTAATAGTCAGAGAGAATAGAGAAGTATTTATACACTGTGAAATACATGCATATATTATTGAACTGCATGGTTTGTGGTTCCTGTACACACTGGTTAAAGTCAGTTGGTGGTTATTGGTGAGAGAAACAGAAGTCAGATGCGTGTCTATGGTTTCTGCTCCACACCAGTAAACTCCAGCATCTCTCAGGCTCACATTACTGATGCTCGCTGTAAAAACTCCTGCTGTACTGTCAGAAAACTCAAAGCGCTGCTTCTCTGATGAGCTGATGCTCTGACAGATCTTCTCATTGTTCTCTTTGCAGATGTGTTTGATGGTCTCGTGTTTCTCAGGGTAACTGCAGCTGAGTTTCACACGTTCACCAATAACAGCAGCTGATTCGCTTGATGCATGAAAATTATCAACTATACAGAAAAACAATAAAAATCTAAATTAAAATCTTATTTTCTCATTTTAACTTCTAGAAATTGTCCAGAAACAGGCTCCTCACAGAAACTCTTTACCTTGATTGATCTTCAGTGTGATCTCCGTGAACAGATGATCGTCAGCGGTATTCACTCCACATCTGTACGTTCCTTCATCAGCTGCTGTTAAATCTCTGATAAAAACCTTCAAAACTCCTTCACTGGTATCATCATACATCAGCACTTTATCACGAGAGACCCATCGATTCTGTTCATCAACAGGGATCTTCTGTAATGAATCTTTCTGGATGAATTTTTTGTTTTCTATGAATTCTTGTGGAAATTTACACTTGATAAAAACTGCTTTACTGATGTAGGCCTCGACCTGGACAGAAGTTATTTGACCTGCAAGACAAGATTTATTTGTTTTAATTACATTATTAACAGTCAGGAGAGATTTACATTTATTATTTAGAGCTGTAAGTTATTTTTCATTAAATAGAAACTAAACTCACTAGAAACATTCAGCTCAATCTCCTTAATGAAGGTTATGTGAGTAATTGATGTTTTTGAAGGTCGATCATCTGATCCGTCTCTCTCCACTCCACATAAATAAACTCCACGCTCCTCTGCAGAAATGTTTCTGATGGTCACAGTAAAGTGATCTTTCTCTCTGTCAGTCAGGTTGAACTTCTCTTCAGATGATTGAGATGATTGAGAGCTGTTCAGCACAAGCACAGGATCTCCCTTCACTCTGTAGAAGACTTTGGTGTGTTTTTTAAACTTATGCTCATATTCACAACTGAAAGTGATCGTTTGACCAATATATGCAGTCTGGATAACAGACGTCCCACAAGAAGAAGACTCTGAAAATGATTTCAATAAAACCATTGTGACATGCACGGAAATATGGCACCATCATGGAGATCAGTGTTTGCTTTAGTTGGGCTCTTGACCCTATTGTCATTGGAAAGTGGAATGCTTTTAATCATTTGCTATATTGCTTTATAACAAACATTTGTGCATTTGCAGTGCTGAATTAAAAGCTTGAAGAAGCAACTTACAATGTAATTTGCTTTTTACTCACTTCAGTGAATATTGTGAAGGTGTCTGTCTTTGAATAGTAGACTAACAATCAGCTGTTACAGAACAGAAAAAAAATTATATTAAACAAATGCCTCCATAATGCTTAAATATTGGAAAAAAGAAGACCTTTATCGTTCAGGCTTTTAGACATGAACACTTATCATATGATCCTCAACAGTGGTGACAATAATTATTCATACTGCAGTGCATGATGGGAGTTTTTACTATGGTGTTACCCAGCATGCATTGCAGCATGAAGCATTTTGTTGATTGTCACCATTGTTGAGATTCATATGCTGGTTCTTGATGTCTGTGTGTGTCTAAACAACATTAGAGTTCAAATGTTTATATGCTGTATGAAGCCTCTAAATTCATTCAATATAACTGTTAGAGTATCATTTTCATTGCATGATGTAATTTAACAAGGTTTGTTAATCATAACTTAAACAAAAATAAAACAACTAGCCTATTTTACATCTTTGGCCCCTGATGATTGTCTCATCATTTGATAAGAGTTAACAGCTGTTCACTGCACAGCATTAAGTGCACTGCTTTACATCACCACATTCACTACTACAAAGAAAGATCTAAGACAAGAAGTCAAGGGTCAAGAGCACAACTAAAGCAAACACTGATCTCCATGATGGTGTCATCATTTTAACCAATAAAACATCAACATCTGATCCTCTGTAATTCTCAATAACAGCAGGTGTTCATCACTAATGCACAATCATCATTTAATTAGTCACTTAATTATCTCATTAACTTTAACTCTTTGAGGACTTGGGATTTGACTCCAGACTCGTTTGTGACTTGAAAGGAATGACTTGGTTCCTCCTCTGCTGAAATCAGCTGCTGAGTTCATGGGTGGAATAAACATATGGCAGGACTTTTACTTTCTGACCCCTGGATTGTGCGCCTCTGCATGCACGGAAATCTTAAATTATTAGTAGTAGTAGTAGTAGTATTAAAGGTGCACTAGGGAACTTTGGCGTCTCTATCGCCATCTCTGTTGGACAGATACAGTGTCATGTTTCTTGCAGAGTTATTTAGAGTTAGTTCACCCACAAATGAAAATTACCCCATGATGTACTCTCCCTCAAGCTATCCTAGACGAATACAATCAGAGTTATATTAAATAATGTTCAGGCTAATCAATGCCTTATAATGAAAGTGGATAGTAGCCCAAAATGTAAAGTCTAAAAAATTGCACCTATCCATAATAAAAGAAGTCCACATGGCTCCGGGGGGTTAATAAAGGCCTTCCGAAGTGAAGCGATGCGTTTGTGTAAGAAAAATATGCATATTTACAACTTTATAAACCTTAATCTCTAGCTTCCGCTAACTGTCGTACGCTCGTTCACAAGAGAGTGGCGTCCAGCGGATGACGTAGGCGTAGCATAAGCTCCGGTGAGAATTTTGTTTACAGCAAAGGAAAACCAGTTGTCCTGTTGGCTTATATCGACATTTTTCTTTACAAATCCTCATTTTGTACTACTAATTCGTGACCAGTGTTTTGTTTTGCTCTCTCCTCTGCGCTTCCACGTTCGTCACCGCGTTTGCCTACGTGCTACGTCATGCGCTGGACGCCACTCTCTCGTGAATGCACGTATGACAGTTAGCGGAAGCTAGAGATTAAGATTCATTAAGTTGTAAATATGGATATTTTTCTTACACAAATGCATCGCGTCGCTTCAGAAGGCCTTTATTAACCCCCTGGAGCCGTGTGGACTTCTTTTATAATGGATGGGTGCAATTTTTTGGACTTCAAATTTTGGGCTACCATCCACTCCCATCATAAAGCATGGAAGAGCCAGGGTGATTTTTAATATAACTCCGATTGTATTCGTCTGAAAGAAGAATGTCATATACACCTAGATGGTTTGAGGGTGAGTACATCACAGGCTCATTTTCATTTTTGAGTGAACTATCCCTTTAACGTGGGTTGTGCTTGTCTGTATGGTCACCTGTGATCACAACACGAGAGAGATCAGTCATCCTACATCAAGACAGAAACATACTGACAGAAAAGGTTTGTCCTACAAGGAATATATCCAGAAGAATATGTAATTTGAACAAGTAACGTTTAGTAGATGGTCTTCTTTCTGTGAACTCTCAAATAACACTGACGTAAAACTGACATTTCAGTCAGCTCAAATTATAAATCATTATTATACTGTCGTGAATTATTATAATGCAGCGAGGCAGTTTGAACACTGAATCATGAATTTGCTTAATAATTAATTTTTGTCCTCGTAGTGCACCTTTAAACAATACTATAATAAAAATAAAATAATTACTGTAGTGAGTTATAAAGTATCATACGTACTGTGGTTCACCACTAAATCAACATCATGACTCCATTTCAGCTTGTTTCCACATATGTATTTCCCATCATCCTCTCTGCTGAGGTTCCTGATAAACACTGTGAAGAATCTGCTGTTTTCATCGTCATACAGAGCGAATCTCTCATGATTAACCCAGCGGCGCTGAGTCTCAGTACTGATTCCTGTCGTACAGTCTCTGTTTCCGCAGAAATATGCTGATCCTGAAAATATTCCTTTATGCTGATCATTAGACTCTCTCTGGGTCGGGGGTTTTGTGTTATGTTGCTCATCAGACTTATACACGCACTTGAACATTACACT